GGTTGCAGTTTTTCAGCAGGGTCAGACTCCTCTCCCTTGACTGCTCCAGGGTACACGAATGCCTTGTGACCTGCAGCATCACGGCAGCTTCAACACGTGTGTTTTGGAGACAGAAAGCAAGTCCACCTCTCCTGCACCCTTCCATTGCAAGTCAGAGCAGAAGTGTCTGGAAATATAACGGGATGTTCTGTTAGGTCCTGCTTTTGTCTGGAGTGCAGCCAAAGTGCTGCTGACCGGAAAACTTCATTAGGCTTTGAGTGTTCATAACTGAAAAAATAATGATCCTTTAACAGTCAGTTATTCTGTTTTGGAGATCATCTCTCCAAAGCGTGTTCTCCAGCTACAGTCTTGATCAGTAAGAGGCTGAAAATTGCTGATGAACGCTCTCATTTTGTCCAGCCTAGATGAGTGTAATCACTTGCCACTCAAAGGCCAGGTTGCATTTGATAGAAAATGCTTCCAGCCTTGAGCGTGACTCATGTCCTAGGTCCGTGGATTTTGTGGCTTATGACCATTCTGATGCCCTCTGGGCTTATAGCATTACTTGAGAAGTTATTCGGACTTCCCCAGCCTTGGATAGATTTGCTGTGCACATTCCTGTGCTCTTCCAGTTCTTCATCAAGGTCTGAATTGCTGTTTCTTTGATCCCCCACGGTTACAACCTGATGGGAGGAAGGGCTCACCCCCCTCTTGCACAGCAGTGTGCTTTCTGTCACCGTCCCAAGCTGTTCCCGTGTGTGGGTGTTAGCCCCATCCAAGGGAGCGTTCTCCAAAAGCTGCTGCTTCCTATCGCGCATCGTGGAGGTTTGTGACGAGGTCATCTGCAAGTGCCCTTGAATCTCCTGCTAAAAGAGACCTCAGAAAAATCTGTTACTGCATCGCTGTACCAAATAGAGACCTAAATTCACAATTATAGAAGAGTTAAGGTTGGAGGGACCTCTGGAGGTTTCTGGTCCATTCCCCGAAGCTCCTCTTACCTAGAACAGATTGCTCAGTGCTGTGTCCAGCAGTGCAGTTCGAATGTCTCCAAGGATAGACACTCTGGATAGACACCTCTTCCAATGCTCAGTCACCCTGCAAGGTCTCCTCTTGCTTTTGCATCTCTTCTTGTCCTTTCTTACCTGATGGCTGGTATGTGTGGTCCCCCCGAGCCCGCCTGCGCTGCGGGCTTGGCCGTGCCGCCAGAGCGGCGCTGGGCGATGGGCCCGTTGTGGCGAGCGCTCCGGGCGCCGCCTCGGCTGCGGCTCCTCTGCGCTGCGCGTTCCCCCAGACCGCTCACTTGCACAGCTCTTACACATAAAGGGGTATTTAGTTCCACGCCCTCAACTTTCATCCATTTGAAGGATTTGTTATAATATTAACTTCTTCTTTTACACTAATGTTATTCTGATGGCTGTCTGAACTGAAATAATGGTTGCTTTTCCTGGAAACGTGGGGTGCAGAGCATTGCTGTTAGGGTTTTTTTTATATCCTGATGTTTTAGATCATTAAATTCTCAGGGCTTAAGCTCTTATTTCTTGTGTTTTCAGTGCTTATAACAGGATCTCCTGGGGCCCTATTGTACAACCAAATACAAACAATACATTAATAAAACAGGATTGTGTATTTTTACTGCCAGCAGTCTGTAAGGATTACTTGTATATACCACTTTGCAGTAGTAGGCCTTGAGTCATTCTGATCTGTCACTTATACCACTTTTTTGAAGTGGTTTTTCTCTGTACGCAGGTGACATGAGAGATATTGCCTTCTGGAAAGGTGTTACTTCAGCTGCAGGATAAATTTCTGATTCTTGGTAGCTTTTTTTCTGCATGCTTGTGGGCAATACTCTAGTTTGCTTTCCTGCTTCTTTCACCGCCAGTGATGAGTAGTTAACATTATTTTTTTGTGATAGTTCAGTCACTGAAGTGATGAATAATATAAACTGACTGCAGTTATTAATTGTCAGTTAATGCTGTCCTTTTGGGAGAAAAAACCCTCTAATGATATGCTGTAGCAGTCTTAGTTTTATGAATCACTTGAACTTTAGAGTTAGACTCCTAAAATGAATTAGGAAGTAGTTTTGAGAGCATTATAACTGAGATTTAAATGGGATGGGGAAAAAAGCATCTCTTTTGTACAGACATTACTGAAGGGAAAATGCACGCTTATGTATTTTACCAAAAATGAATGTACTTGTTTCTGTTTTCTAACCTTGATTGGTAGTCTTTGCAATCTGATTTCACCAGTTTTTTGGTAGAACATGCTAGGATCTTTTAATGCATCGTTTATGTTGCATTTTGGCAAGGAATGTGATTTCTCTAGTAAAGTTAACTTGTGTAAATTATCTTTTCTTTGAGTACGCTGAACGTATCCATGGGCTGGAGCTGCTCATTTCTCAGTCGTGGTGGTCTGCTCCGGTGTGGATCCCCTACGGGGCGTGAGCGCCCATGACCGTGTGCTGTGCCCAGAGTCCCCAAGTGGGGAGCATCTCTTGCATGAGGATCAAGCAGACTTTGCAGGACTTCCCATCTCCCAGAAACAGTTTTCTTGTATTCCCCACATCATTAAGCTTCAGGGTCTGTCCTCGATGACAGGAGAGATCATCACGTACCCACCTGTTAGCGCTGGCTGCTTCGGCAGCCCTTCTTGACCGTGGCGGCCCTTCTTGACCTTGTGCCATCCCAACGTTGCTCTGAAGCTCACAAGAGCCTGGCTTTGCTGGCTCCTCTTTAGTTTTCGATAGCCTTTGCTGCCAGAATTTATCCAACCAGGGGTGGAAATGGTTCTTGCACCATTTCTCCATGTTGCTGTGAGTGCATTGCCAAGTTTCAGTTTCCCGAAGCAACTCAAATTCAGAAATTCGCCCTTAATTTTAGCATGCAATTATCCCACCAAAAAAAAAAGTGTTCCTCAAGCTTCATTCCCGTTGCTCTGCTGCTCGGCTGCCTGCAGGGTCGTATTCCGAAGGCAGCATCTGGGGCTGGAGGTACCAAACGTGCCCAATCCGAAGGCTTTGGCGAAAGCAGTTACGGACCAGGACTTTATTTACTGCCACTTTGAAGCTGCTGGAGAAGTGTTTGTTTACCACTCGGTGTTGACCTTTGAGGAGACATTTCTCCGTTAATTGGGTATCTAATCCCTTCAGACCATTGACAGGTGGGCACATATCTCAGGTTTTTCTCATTAGCTATTTTTCCTCTGTCTCTTTTTTCCTATCCCTGTTATATGGTAAATTTTACCTTATTTTTCTTAGTGCCCCCATTTTTTTTTATTTAATAAATTAACTGTTGATTTCATACCTGACTCTTTCCTGGCCTGAACTTTTCTTCTGCCACTTCATTGGAATTGTAAGAGCCTCTGTCTCTCATTCCTGAACTTAATGTGTTTAAAAGCAGAGTGTGAAGAGAAGACCAGCTATTTTAATGTATGTCATATCTGGCCCTTAATAATCATTTTCTCATTAATTCTTTAATGTTAGTCATTCCACAGATACTTAATTTTTTAAAAAGCTCAAAAATTAACTCTTTTTTTAGAAAACAAAAAAAAAGTTGACTGTTTATAGACATTAAATTTATCTCCCGGAAGGTTTTGCAGGCTTTGTTTTCTTGCATAAAGCACAAAAAATCTTTATCATTAGCAATGGGATGTTCAAGGCAGTATCTGGTACCATTGTTACCATTTTTCCTGTGTTTGAGGAAATGTCTCCAACTGAGCAGAGCATGTGCCTACCGCAAACAGCATTAACTGTGGGGCAGTATTGTGCCGTGGACCTGTTTGTGGTGAGGAGCTAAAGGTGGCTGGTTTAATTGAAGTGATCGAGGCCGAACTTGTTTGGAGCAGAAGTGCTTCTTGCTGCTGCCCTTGGCATAGAGCTGAGCCCGGTCGCCAAGTCCTAGGTTGTCCTGGCTGGGTCACCAAACTCTTCCGCTCGAGATAAGCTGGCGCTTGTGTCCCATTTTACTGCTCCATGCCCGAGAAGCAAAATGAGTTAATTCAAAAACCAATTTTGCCAGAAGGTTGCTCTATAAATAATGCTTTTTTTTCACCCATGTCTGGAATTTCGCAGAAGGCAAAGGGAGCAGGGATCTGCAAGCAGATCCAAGCAGCCGAGCCTGGAGTTGTCCCATGGCCAAGCAACCTCCAGCCGTGGAGGTGGCAGATCTCCTTGAGATGCCTGTAGCTGCTTCGGGGAGCTGCCCCAAGAGGGAAATGGGAAATAACTCCAAAACGAGACATTTTCTGAGTGCTGTCTGGAGCTGTCCGCAGGAATAAGTGAAGTTTGGGCATCCGAGGAGCTGCAGCAGTGCAATGAGAAGCTGCAGTGCTCAGCTAGTTGGAAATAACAGGGTCGTGGAGAGCTGCCGGGAGGTGGAGCCGGAGCCGGGCGGTTAAGCAGGGCAGGGCGGACGCTGCTCCTGTAGTAGTTGACGCTACGGCCAACGCGCGTTGATTCCTAATGACTTGCACCGCCGTCTTTATGGGCTGGCTCCTCAGCAGAGCAATTGGGATGTTTCTTGGTTGTGATTTTAATTGTCGCTTTTTGCTTCTCATAAAACGTTTGCCTTTAACTGATCACAGGAGAGCCGTTTTTCCCTGCTCTGTTGCACCTAATGTGCTGCAAGAGTTATCAGACTGGGGCGGGCAACGGTCTGTCTATTCTGGCTCTTCCCATCCAGAAATGACCGATGCCAGATGATCCATCTGGAGGAAATGAAATATCTGTATAGCAACTAATGGTGGGACTTTATGCCCGGGGAAGCAAATCAAAGTGAAATAAACTTACTGGTTATTTTCCCATTAAACAAATGCTCCTATAAAAAAAGCATCAGTTGTTTGGAGTATGGAGAGAGAAGATGAAGTCATTCCAGAGCCGAAGTTGGCTCAGCTCATGGGTGGTACCGATAGCTTTTTAGAAAGAACAAGTGAGGTGGTTTCCTGAGAAGGAATTAATGAATTTTCTTTGCTTTTCAAAGCCGGGCATCGCGGACCGTCTCACTGGTGCCCTTTTCCCTCTCTTTCAGCAACAGCGCACCGTCTACAGGCTGACGCTGGTGAAAGCCTGGAACGTGGATGAACTCAAAGCTTATGCCGAGCTGGTTTCCCTCGGCAAACCAGACTTCATTGAGGTCAAGGTGAGCTGCACAGAACTATTTCTTTTTTCCATGGGTATCTTATTTTCTTCTTTCCATTCTCCTGTATGTAGTATATTAAGGTTATATGAGCAAGCACAGGATTTTTTTATATGAGCAAACACAGGATCTTCCAAGGATGCGGTGATGTGGAAGGCAGCCAGATTTCTGATACCTTTTAGGGTGGTGATGTGGAAGGAACTTGTTTCTTGCTCTTAAAGTTCAGCAGCCAGATTTCTGATACCTTTTAGGGGCATTGGGAATAGCCTTTGCAGCTGTGCAAGGCCAGCCTTGTAGCAGCAGACATCCATTTCTGCCCAACAGAGCCATGCCCCTCTGGTCTTTCCTTTTGGTATTTCTCATCAAAAGGGAGTAGATAATAGATTTCTTCTTTCTGTTGAGCTGCATTTTAATCAAAATACTCTGGGGCACATTGGTAGCTCATGGTATTGTTCGTCCCATCCTGGTCTCCAATTTTGCCAGGAGAAAGAGATGCTAAAGCCTGCCTTGCTGGCGTGATATTTATCAGGCTATGCAAAACAAGAGCAACTGTTGACCACTGGGACATGAGGCCTAACCCTTCAAGAAGAGCAACTCAGGGGAGCATGTGAGATACAGTATGGCAGGAGGTGCTTTATCTTGGGAGCAATCAATTTGATGCACAGAAAGTGTAAAAAGACAAGTTGCAACATGTCCTGTAAAGGATAATGAGCAGTGTTTTGGTCCAGAAACGTACCTGCAACCCAACCCATTTAGCTCAGGTAAGTATTTTTCCAGCTTTGTTGCTTCTAAACTTTCGTTTCTCCTTTTTTTTTTTTTTTTTCCCCCCTGTTTTTTTTATTGAACCTTCGTATACTGCTGCTTTCAAGGGTGCTGAAATTTTCTTATGAAGCAAAACCCACAGGTTTTGATGTTGTCAGTGTTGAGTCTTTTGCCCCGAAAGTGCTCCTGCAGTAGATAGTTTAATACAAAACAAAACTTTTGTGTGATTTGGGGAAAGAACCTGTTTTGGAGCCATTCGTGTTCCTTGGGTAAAATCTACAGGACTGCTCCTGGGGGCCCTTCCTGCCTCGCATTTTGTCTCACTGCAGACTGGTGGCAACGGGCTCCTTCACTGACGCTTGCAAGGAGTGTGAGGAGAGTCGCAGATCTCGTCCACATGGAGTTTGACTCTCCCAGCGACTGTGTTTCCCAAGCAAAATCATGGCTTGGAGGAGCTAGATGAGGAAAAGACCTTCGAAGTGGTCTCCTGCCCACACAGCTCGTGGCTTTCCCCCTTGCAGTAAGGGAGAGGGAGCACCTTGCACCTCCGTGTTTATCCTTATTACAAAGGTCAATGTTGCACCTATACCGTGGCCACAAAAGTCCCCTTGAAATGATATGCAGAAAGTTGTTGGTCTTCAAAGTCCCAAGCACGGCACTCAGGGACCCAGGGAAACTCGAGTTTAAAGCATTTTTGAAGGATGCAGCAAATATTTCCCTCATCCGTGTTGAATTAGGCTGGAAGTAATGGAGGAAGTGTCTTATTTCCTCTGCTGGGCACAGCTCTGGTAGGAGGCTCAGAATGGTGTTCTACAACTCCATTGCCTTTTGAGGACCTCCAGGGTCCCCGTGGTGTTTTGTGCCCTTTGCTCTTACTGGTGCAAGGGGACAAGTGGCTGCTCTTGCAAAGCAAGCAGCTGAGTGCAATTAGAAAGGCTAAAGATTTTGCATGTTGGCCAACAAAAAATAACCTGTTAGCAAGCTGGCTCTACCTCCTCCTCCAGCACACCCTGAAATTTGAGCTTTTAAGTCACCTTGGGTTCTCCCTTTATTTTAATTTTGGAGACCTGAAGGGCGATGTGTGCCCTGACAGATGGCATTGCTGCCAGTCCCCATTCGTTTGAATTTCCATCCCCTTAACGTAGCAGGAACCTTTCAGATGGCTTTCCTGGAGCAAAAGATTTGCTTGACACTCAGTTGCATTTAAACAGGACATAAATTGGTGCTAATGAGGCCTGAAGGGCTTTTCTGGGGGATTTTTGTATCTGATTTTTTATTTAGAGGCAAGGTTTTTCCTTAGCAAAGTTTCCTTTCATCTTTGCCTCTTTGGAGCAAGCATAACGTTGCACAAGGCGGGCACTTGGTGCTCTGCAGAGGGCGAGCACCTTACGCCAAACGCAGCATTAGCCCAGCCAGTGGCCTTGGTGGTTTTGCAGTTTCATCTGCTGGTTTCTGATATCTTTCTGCTCAAGAGCAGTGTCTCCAAAGCGTAGATAACTTGGTGTGGCAGGAGGGGGCATGATAGTTTTTCTCCCTCTCTGTCTCACCTTGGTGCCTCCGGGTGAAGTAACTGAGCTCTAGGTTGCCCTCCTGGTCCTTCAGCTGTGTCCCTACAGAAGCCTGTTGTCACATGGGCTTTTGCAATCCAGGTGGGCAAAGCTCTTGCTCGGTGCCCTGCTCGTGACAGCAGCCCTCTCCTTTGGTGGATTCCCCAGTGCTGCAGTGATGCTGGAGGCATCTTGCAAGCCTTGGAGCTGCTCTGCCCAAGGGGCTGGATTCAAGAAGGTTGCAAAAAACTTCACTGCCTGGGGCGAAGCAGAGCGCTGTGATCTCCCTCCATGGGCTGTTCGGCTGCGTTCCTGCCCTGTGGCCAAGCAGTCTTTGCCCCTGCTGCCTTGGTGCAGCCACCAAAATGTGCGTGAACCTGCCCTGCTCAGTCCCCAAAATACTGTCCCGTGTGGTGGCAGTGGCACAACAAGGTCCTCCCCACTAGAGGAAGACGGGCGGCCTTGGGATGTGCTCAGTGGAGGATTTACTATTGTTACACATGTTCCTCTATCTTTTTTTTTCTGCCTCTGCCCTTGGCCAAAACTCCTCCGAATCTATGATTCTCTAGTCCAGCCTCATTTTGCTGCTGGTCACCGAGCATTTGCCACGTGGGAATTTCACCCCCAAAGGCTTCCTCTTCTCTGATGAAACTGAAGTTCTTGTGCTGCTCTGAGAATGAAGAATATTGAGGAACATATTTGACACCATTTGGGCTTATCTTTTTTTGTTCTCCTTCAAAACCGCAGCGTGACAGGTTATGACCTGGTGCTGTTCAACGCAAATAAACAAACAATATTAGGAGATAGATACTGCAAAGCATCTGCCAGAAAATGAGGCTCAGCTCAGCAGGATTTCCCGGTTAAATACTTGAGATAAATGACGTTCATTTAAAATGAATGGAGCTTAATCCCCTGTTACTCCGGAGAGGCTCATGGGGTGGAGTGGGTAGAGATTTGGATTCTTGCAGGGCTTAATACTTGTTCTCATTTACATGAGTATCTTACAGCAGTATAACTCGGTGGGACCCTATTCTCTTATTTAAGCCACTAGAAATTAGCATTGGTTACTCTTGTGTAAAACCTACGTAAAGCAAGAAACGGCCTCGCAGTTGTTAAATACACATCAATTTTTTCTTGCATTAAGCTTGGTTTTAGTGTCATAACGTGGCTATCAGTTATTCAGAATCTATTCCTATATTTTATTAACATCTCAAACATGCAGTTCATCTTTTAGCATTAACCTTATTTTTGGTTAAAAACATTACTCTGCTTTTTTGTTTGAAAAGACAGAGGTTTCTGTTAGCACACAGTGTTTTGCCGTTTCTATTTCTTCCTCAGCTAAAGGAGCTGAAGTATTTTGAAGGGAAATGTGATTGAGTCCTGGGTTTGGAGGTACCTCCGTGTTGGTTGGGGACCTCCCATCATTTTGGCATGAGGGCTGCAAGCGAAACGAAGCTCCCTACGACTTGAGCTCCCTACGGGTTTGCTCAAGTGCAGCTGTTTTGCCTGAGCACCAGCGTCGCTTCCCGCCCGAGCAGAGCTTTGCTGCTTCTCTCCATCCTTTTGACTGTACAGAACGCCAGCCCGGTGTGTCATCTGCTCCAGGGCCGTTCAGAGCGTGGTGACGTCTGCAGGCAGGACTTGGGCAGGGTGTAGATGAGCTCTGTGGTACCGCGTTGAGTCTCCTAAAGCCGTCATCAAGTCAGGTTTTTGACTGCTCTAACCACTTGTCCTGACAGTTGCTCTATAGGCTTGATGCTGGCACTGCTGGGAAGGGCATTTTGGAAGTGCCGTTCCTGCTCTCGGTGCCTGCAGCTTTGCTGCGCCATTAAAATGACCAAGCAAACGTCTGGCAACAGGGACCGGAGGGAAGGATCTGTCCCTGTCTGCTCAGCCTTGTCCTATTAAACAGTAGGAGTATTTAAGTGCTTAAAATAGGAGAATGAGCTCTGCTTTAATGAGTTTTTAATTACATGCCGCAATTGCAATTGCCCCCACCTGTCAAAAAGCTATTCAAACTCTTGATGCCGTTACAGGCTGCACTGGGATGAAGAGAGGATGAAGGTAAAGATCACCTGTCCTGACAATTGCTATAAAATAAATCCAAGCAATGCATAATTTTCATGCCTGAGGAGACGTTGTGTGCTCACTGTTTCCTCTAACCACCTGTTGTGTGGAAAAAGTACAAGGAATCGAGAGGCCACTGCGGCCACGTAGGTAGCGCAGCACGTGGGCTGTGGCAGGGCTGCTCACAGGCCCCACAACCTCGTGGTCTGCACAGGCGTTCCGCAGGCCTGTGCGGATCCGTCACCCAGCGGGGCCTGGTAGGTCTGACAGATCCGGGGAGCTGCGTTGTGGCCTCAGCTGCATTGGGCCGAGTTCCGAGCAGCCTCTGCTGAACTCAGCTCCTCTAGTTACTCGCATCGGGGTGACGGGAGGCAGGGAACCAGTTGGTGCTTCCTGTTCATCCCCAAACTGAAGGGTGATCGAGGTCCAGCCAAGGGGTTGGCTCTTGGTTTCTTGGTTACCGAGTAAGTCTTGGTAACAAGTTTTACTCTCTGACATAGGCGAATGATTGAATCTTGAATTTTCAAGTGAAGCTGCCACACAGTTTTGTTGAAAGTTCAGTCTTTAAGTCATTTGGTAAGAAGTTTTACTCTCTGACATAGGCAAATGATTGAAACTTGAATTTTC